TGGTGATAATCACTGCCAATTATGGATCATTGATATTAGAAAGAAATCCTTTTTGAAAACCATAAAGATAGGAGCAAGTTCATGACTTTGAAGATGGCAAGGCATATCAAAGCAATTGTTGGGGTATCGATACTTGTAAAAAATGGATTGAAAGTTATGCACAACTTGTGGAGTTTAGTGATTCAAACTGAAACTTTTATGAATTCAAGAATTGTTTTGGAATTTTTACAAGCAAACTCATATTGGAACTCATCACAATCTATTTTTCTCACCAACTCTCTTATTTCTTCCCCTTCACACAACTCAAGATTGCTCCGTCACTCTCTCTTATTTCTTTCTTCTTTGTTTTGTTTTGATTGGGATGAGAAACACGTACATGCACCAAGGTTATTTATAGCCAAACTCCAACACTAAATTGTGACTTAAACTTTGCCACCATTAGTTGTGCCACCGCTCAATGACTCGCTAAAACTACACTCCTGACAATGCAAAGTGAAATAATGACATGATCGCACTATAATAGCACAAGCAATAAATATTGAATCCACTGGTCTCTAGAGTTACTATTACTCAGCTTCAATTGATTATCTAGCCATAATAGGTTCAAATAAACTAACTAACTACTCTATCAACTAAACTAAGGTTGGACTGCTAATTACAGGTTGGGAACTCACTCAGGTATTGATTAACCCTAGATCACCAATCAACTACCACAGAACAACTGTAGGTGGGAATTTTTATTCCCAACCCAACTATTTCCGTAAAACAATTGCTTAGGGCACGAGATCAAGATTTGGAAAATCTCGCCGGACTCTTTAACCATCAACATTTACTACCCAAACGATGTATTTCCCTTCCTAATCTAATTCCTAGCCCTTCAATCTCATTAAAATCCAATGGCTCCCATTAAGTCCATTTAATGAAGGGTAATGTAGTAATTACATGATTCATTGTTATTTTATTTTTAATAATTAATAATTAAAAGAATCTCTCGCAACCGACACGTACCGTCCTCCCCACCTCAGCCGACTATAATTTCCCGACGTCCACCATTTTTGGTGCATCCTGTCCGTGTGTCCAAGAGAGAGAGAGGCCACCTATTTTGTGCGTCCCAGAGAGAGAGAGAGAGAGTTTCGTCATCGGTGAATTTTTCGACAGCGGCGGAGTGGATTTTCCGGCGACAACATTTGTTTTGTTATGTTTGTCGGATGATTTTGTAATGTTTGTAAGTATGTTTTGTGATTTTGTATCAATTCGGTTTGTATCGTTTATCATTCTAGTTTGTCATTTTTATCTATTATGTTTGTAATGTTTATATGACTAATTTATATACATTGTAATTTGTAATGTTTGTTTGTCTAGTTTGTATACTTTATGTTGTGATTTATGTACTTTGTATTCATTAATTTGTAATGCAAGTTTACTGTTTTGTATTGTAAGTAGTGACATTTTGTACTGTTAGTATGTTTTGTAATGTATGTCGATCTAGTTTGTATAGTTCGTATGTTTCGTATTGTTTGTAAATTTGTTTGTATGTTTTGTCACTTTAGTTTGTATTGTTCGTATGTTTGTATGGTTGTACTGTTTGTAAGTCTGGTTTGTATACTTTGTAATTTTCCATAATACCCAAACTACCACTGTCATTAATTATAAAGTCCTTCCCACTTTTTAACCGTCAAATTGGTGTGTCCAGATCTAAGGCTGGGAGGGGCTTAGTCAAGTGACTTATAACCCCCTTAATCATTTGATCCGCCTTCTACTATAAAAGAAAACATGAAAAAGAAAGACTTGGTTTAACAACTTGGCCATTTAGATGTATTGCGAATTTTTGGGGTTAATTGCATTGTTGGTCATTAAGATTACAAAAAACGTTCATGTTTGGTCACTCGAAATATTTAAATCCATTCATGGTCACTACATTTAGTAAAACAATCCAAATTTAGTCACTCTCCGTCCAACTCCGTTAACTTTGGCTGATATGGCAGTCAACTCTCACAGTTGACCGTGAACTCTGTGATGTGGCAATTAAAAATTATTTTTAAATATTTCACCTCATTATCACTACCATTAAAAATTAAAAAATTAAAAATTATTCATTTTAAATACCTAATGAAATAATATCACCCCTCTTTCTCACCGTTGACTGAAAGAGGGCGTCAGCCGAATCCCTAAACCTAAAGTAGAGAGAGAGGCTCTGTCAGCTGAAAGAGGGAGTTTTTTGCTTCTTCCCCTCGTGATTCCTTCTTCTTCTTCACCTCTCTCTCTCTCTCTCCCTTTTTATCGTGCCATCATAGAGGGCCACTATTCCAATCCCCTCTCACTGATGGAATCTCTCCGGCGAACTGTCTTTCCTCGCAATAGTAACCGCCGATAGAGTGACCCGCAGGCTTGAAACCTATCTCAGCTCCCGTCGGTGTTAATTTTTTTTTTTTTTGGGAATTGCTTCTTCCTTCTCGCGTGGCTTCTCTTGGCATCTCTGTTGGTGGCGAGTGTAACGGCGGAGCCGCCGAAGGAGGAGAAGCAAGCTCTCCTCTCTTTCCTCTCACAGGTCCCACATGAGAATCATCTCCAATGGAGCACCAACAATTCCTCGGTTTGGAGTGTGACGCGAATCAGTCTTCCGTCCACTCCCTCCGCCTCCCTGGCGCCAGGCTGGTGGGGCCGATTCCGATAAACACGCTAGGAGGAGGAAGACTATATGGAATAGACATGGATGGTGATATGGAATAGATTTGGAGAGACAGAGCTCTCTACTTTAGGTTTAGAGATTCGGCCTACGCCCTCTTTCAGTCGACGGTGAGAAAGAGGGGTGAGATTAGTTCATTAGGAATTTAAAATGAATAATTTTTAATTTTTTAATTTTTAATAGCATAAATAATGAGGCGGAATATTTAAAATTATTTTTTTATTAATTTTTAATTGTCACGTCACATATTTAATAGTCAACTATGAGAGTTGACTGTCACATCAGTCAAAGTTAACGGAGTTGAAAAGAGAGTGACCAAATTTGGATTGTTTTACTAAATGTAGTGACCATGAATGAATTTAAATATTTTGAGTGATCAAACATGAACGTTTTGTAATCTCTCCGAATTTTTGTTGTTAGTATTGTACGGTGAGAATTTGGTTTAACAACTTGGCCATTTTGGAAAATAAATTAAAATTATCCCCATGTCGGTTGGTTGAGATCTTACCGTTAAGTCGCTTGTAGAAGAATTCTTCCTGGTAGTTTAAGGGAGTTTTTTTAGGGAAGGGAATTTGTGTAAAATTTTGTTTCTCCTGTAGTGGCGAAATCAGCGATTTTATATAGAGTGTCATCTTTAAAAATTAAATCATTAATAATTTATAATTAAATCATTTTTAAATAAGAAAATATCTAACTAGTACTAGTTACAACAAAAGTCCACAATGTGTTTGCATATCCTAAAAAAGTTAAAATACACTCGGTGTGTACACGACTCAACAATTATCTCTATCTTATTATACAATCATTTACAAATCGATCACTTATTCGATTCCGAAACTTGTTCTAAAGTATCCCAAAGATGAAAAATGTTATTTCAACTCTTGCAGTTGCAATCGGTAAAATCAATAACTTTGGAAAGTAAAGGGTAGCCCATAATTGGGTTTAATTGTTAGACTTTGGAAATAGTTGGGGAAATGAATAACATGTTTGCTATAAGACCGATGTTTAAAATACAAAAACAAATAAGTTGTAGCCTAATGAAAAACATGTTTACAAACACTAAGAGTTGCCTAGGTTCAAATCACCTAGTCTATCACTTACAATTTTTTTATCCATATGTAATATTATCAAGATTGGATAATTGTTTTCTCTAAACTTTAGAAGTGTCCCTGCATGGAAGGTATAGTTTGATTTTTTGACTCGGTAAATACAATTTAATAACCAAACCTTTGATTTTAAACAAAATAATAGTCAAATCTTTTCAAAAAACAAAATAATAGTCAAACTGTTAACTTTTCATCCGGTCAACCATTAGTTGACTCTGAAGTGGCAGTGACTTTAATAAGTTGGAAATCTTTTGATGAGGTGGCAAGAAGTCCAATGTTTTTTTTAATCCAAGATAAGCCTCCAGGGCATGGCCGAACAACAAATACAAATCACTTACAATACTCAAGAACGGTAGCCCGTATGCAACCGGACTCACGATGAAAGAGCCTTTTTTGCCACGAGATGGTCAGCTCTGAAAAAGCTCCGAGGAGCAAAAAGACGCGAAACTGACACAACGGACAAGAAGTCCAATGTTGACTATGCCACATAGTTAATTATAATATTAACCAAATAATAAATGAGGTGGCAGGTTGATTTTTCACTTTTTTCTTCTTAAATTAGGCTTATTAGGTGATTCTGTTAGCCACATCAGCAAAAAATTGACGCCATTAACGACGACTAACGTAAGTTAACGGAGAGTGACCAAACTTGAATCAATTAACCTTTTTTAATCCATATGTAAATTATTATCGAGATTGAATAATCATTTCCTCTAAACTTTAGAAGTGTCCCCACCCCAATGCATGGAGGGTATAGTTTGCTTTTTTTCACTCGCATAAAAAAATATAAGGGGTTGTTTGCTTGATGGATTGATGATGGATCAATCATGAACTTTGTCTAAACTCCATTATTTGCTTCATGGATTTAGGGGCAACAAGTCCATGGACCCCACAGACTTTTAGTGTCCAAATTCGTGGACCCCACGGACTTGAAAGTTCCACCTCTTTAGGTGATAATCGGTCATGTAATTTAAAGTTAGCAAAATACATTTATGTAGTCAAAACTTTCCCGCTTGTGACAATAATAGCCACTTTTCGAGAAATACAGAAATAGCCAGAAATTTGAATGTTGCATGATAAATATAGCCATTTCCGTTATAAACTTTAACGGCGTCAGAAAAACCGTCAGTTATCTTAACGATGAGCTTACTGAGATGCCACCTCATCGTACACGTAATCGACAACTCAGACTCAATGGACACGTGAATGACACGTCATATTTTATATTAAAAGTATTTAATTATTTATGTAAAAAAATTAAATATTTAAAATGCTTCCTACTCCCGTCTCGCCCTCCATCTTCTTCCTCTTCCCTTTTCCCCAACATAATGAGCCACCGTAAACCCTTCTCCCTCCCTAGATTGCAGTATATCCACCGCTAAACCCAGAACCCTTCTTCCCTCTTCACTCGACCAAGAAGAACCCATGGACTAGTAGCTTGGAAAGCGCAAACCACGAGAATGGATCTGGACTCCGATTGACCGTCGACAAAGTGGAATCAAAGATCAATTTAGCAGGCAAAATCAGAGGAAAGATCACGAATGGCACCGCCGCCGCCGAGCTAACAGTGGTGAGCGATTGGAAGCCTTCTATTGTTCTGGGCGGCGTCGCGTCGTGCTCGGGATCGATGTCGGATTCACCAACGAAGCTATACCTTTGCGACAGAAGAGGTGGAAGCGGAGAGTGAGCACGAATCGCCGAATCTGGAGGGAGAGAGTGCATGGTGGAAGATGGCGGCCAGATCCATCTTTGTTGTGACCAGATTTGAGACTGAATTTGCGAGCCACCACTGTTGTCGTCGGGGCTTCTCCTTCTGCGATTGGGACGGGGCAGAGTAATGGAGTGAGACAGCAATTGGGACAACAATGATGAATCGCTCGACATTTTGATACTAAACGACCTTCTTAGTTCCGTCGTCTTCCTAGAGCTTCGGGTGTTGATGCAGAAGGAAATCGACAACAGCGGTGGAAAGAAGCTTTTCGGAATAGTGCTAGAGAAGAGTAAACTAGAGAGGAGGAGAGGAGAATAAAAGAATTTTTTTGTTTTTTAATAATTTTTATTTAACAATAAAAATAAATGAATAAACTTTGATGGATTTCCACCTCATATTATTTTTAATGAAATATGCCACGTCAACTGTTGTTGTTAGTCCAGTCAGCACGTTAAATTACACCGTCAAAGAATTGGACGAAAGTGGTTATTTTTGGTATTTCGCCAAAAGTGGCTATATTTGGCAAAACCGTCAAAGTTTTGGCTATACAAGTGTATTTTGCCTAAAGTTTATCATTTATGACCAAACTACCATTTTTACTATCCTTCTCTTTTCACAACAATGATGGCAATATAGGTCAATTTTACTTTATATATACATATCTAATTAACGAACTCTATAATGAAATTTCAAGTCCACGATGAACCCAAATGCCTCATATATTTATGGTTTTACAAAATCCAAGTTTTACCAAAACTTTATTTTTTCAAATCTACGAAGCAAGGCTAAGATTTACTTATGCACCAATCTTTATCTTCTACGGTTCAAGTTAAGCACGTCGTTTTGGCTTCAATATCCAGCGCAATTCAGAAAGGCTTTCGAGTGGGACTGTGGTCTGTGAAGTGTGAATGAAGAGAGGTTTGGTCGTAGTAGCGGTGGGACTGGACTCTGATAGCCTGATCGTGTGAGCCACCAGCAACCTCCTGCGCCCAGCCGGCAGTCTTCCCGGTGGCAGGCTCTCAGTAAATTTGCGCCGTGACTTGTCATAACTAGGCCTGTCGGTTCGGTTCGGGTAACCGAACCCGAAAACCGTGAAAACCCAAAAACCCGAACCCGAGCCACACAACCCGAAACCGAAACCGAATTGTGCTTTGTGGGTTTTCGGTTTCATAAACCCGAAACCCGATAGAGAACCCTCCTCGGAGACTCCTACCTCCGGAACGGAGTCGTCGGCCTCACCCGCGACGTCACCATCCCGACCTCGAGCGCCGGCACCGTCATCTACAACGACCCAATTCCCTTCTCCGACCCGGAATCCGCTCCGCCGTCCGCCGCTTCATTCTCCACGAGATTCACCTTCTCTATCGGGAACGTCAACCCGAGCTCCTTCGGCGACGGCCTCGCCTTCTTCCTGTCCCGCGACAACAAGTCACAGTCTGTGAGGGAGAAAAAAAAAAAAAAAGCTTGGTGGATGAAAGATTAGATTCAGATTCAGGAGGGCTATAAACATAAATAAATCTGGGGATTGAAAGCACTCCCTCTCCCGATTTGTTCCCCTCTCCTCCTGACCACTGCTATTACTGCGCTTTTTCCTCTGCGAGGGAAGGGAAAAGGGAGAAGGATCCCTGCTCAGACCCAGATCGACGAATTCTCCCCACAACGTCTCCGACAATTCGATCGTCATCCCCTCGCCGTAGATTCCGTCTTCCGATTCCGGCAGCAAGAACCACAAGAAGCTCGGATTGTGGCTAGGAATCGCCGGTCCTTCCTTCTTCTGCGCGTGCCTCGTGATTTTCGGGTACATATCCGTCAAGAAATGGCAGAGGACGAGAGGAAGTAGTACCACTACGGGGAAAACAGAGCTGGTGGTGGCTTCCGGGCGGCCGAAGGAATTCAACTACAGGGAGGTGAAATCGACGACGAGAGGGTTCCATTCCAGCAGAATCATCGGGAAGGGCGCTTTCGGTTTTCGGGTTCCCTCTCGGGTTTCGGGTTTATGAAACCGAAACCGAAACCAAAATTCACGGGTTGAAACCGAAAAAACCGAACCCATAGACACTGCTGGCGGTTCGGGTTCGGGTTAAACCGAAAACCCGAAACCGTTTTGACAGGCCTAGTCATAACCGGTCTCCCATCTTTCCTTTCTTTGAAAGCTGGGCTCGGTATCAGTCTCTAAGCCCCTCTTTGCTTGCTTTGTTTATGATTGTGAAATTTTCATTCACAGCTTTGTAATGACTTCATCGTACAGGAAAAGATAAAAAGGGGAAGAAGACTAGAGACTGAGGGCAGCAGCAGAGCTCTGCATTGTGAGACTGCATTCTTTTTTCAGCATTCCTCTCGTTAAATTTTGTATGTACGGAAGGTGTTCGATGAAAGTCTCAGCTGAGTTGGTACGCGGGATATCCCGGCGTCTGCTTGTCTCCCCAAGGCGCTCTATCTCGAGCTTGCCTTACCTGTGCGAGAGAATTAAGCAAACAGGTACTGGATTTTAAACGCTCACCCTCCTCTCCGTTAAGTTTTTTGAGTGATCATCTAAGTTTGTTTTTGGGTTTTTCGTTCCGGCAGAAAATGAGATTGTCCATATGTTCAAGATGCCTGGTCCAAACGAAGAAACGGAAAGCCGAAAATTCCCGAGGAAGTACAACTCTTCGGCTAGGGTGCTGGACGAAAGGTTCATTAGGATTCTGAAGATATTCAAGTGGGGACCTGATGCTGAGAAGGCCTTGGAAGTGCTCAAAATGAAGGTGGACCATAGGTTGGTTCGTGAGGTTTTGAGCATTGATGTTGAGGTTAATGTCAAGGTTCAGTTCTTTAAGTGGGTCGGGAAGAGGAGAAATTTTGAGCATGATTCTACCACTTACATGGCTTTGATTCATTGTTTGGATGAAGCTGGATGGGTTGGTGAAATGTGGAAGACAATCCAAGAAATGGTCAGGAGCCCTTATGTTTTATTAAGTCCCGCTGATTTATCTGAAATTCTGAGAATTTTGGGGAGGAGCAAGATGGTAAACAAGGCGTTATCCATATTTTATCAAATAAAAAGTCGCAAGTGCAAACCGACTGTGGGTACTTACAACTCTCTGATAATGATGCTAATGCAGCAAGGCCATCATGAGAAGGTGCATGAACTTTACACTGAGATGTGCAGTGAGGTTGATTGTTTACCTGATACTGTAACATATAGTGCTGTTATATCAGCATTTTCGAAATTGGGCCGTGATGAGTCTGCTATGAGGTTGTTTGAAGAGATGAAGGAAAACGGCCTATATCCTACAGCCAAAATATACACAATCGTGTTGGGAATTTACTTCAAGTTGGGAAATGTAGAGAAAGGTTTGAGTTTGGTGCAGGAGATGAAAGCTAAAGGTTGTCCTCTGACTGTCTTCACTTACACGGAGTTGATTAAAGGACTTGGAAAGGCAGGGAGGGTTGATGATGCATACGATGTTTTCTTAAATATGCTAAAGGGGGGTTGCAGGCCTGATACTATACTCATAAACAATATGATAAACATTTTGGGGAAAGCAAGTCGTTTAGAGGATGGAATAAAGCTCTTCCACCAAATGGAATCATGGCAGTGCATCCCGAATGTAGTTACATATAATACTATTATCAAAACCCTATTTGAATCAAAAGCTCCAGCTTTGGAAGTTTCTTCATGGTTTGAGAGGATGAAGGTCAGTGGGATTGCTCCTAGTTCATATACTTACTCAATTCTTATTGACGGCTTTTGTAAGACAAATAAAGTTGAGAAAGCTATGTTGCTTCTTGAAGAGATGGATGAAAAGGGGTTTCCTCCTTGTCCTGCTGCCTATTGCAGCCTGATTAACAGTCTTGGAAATGCCAAACGCATGGAAGCTGCAAATGAATTGTTTCGGGAGTTGAGAGAGAACTGTGGACAATCAAGCGCTCGTGTTTATGCTGTCATGATTAAGCATTTCGGAAAGTGTGGGCGCCTTGATGATGCTCTTGATCTTTTTAATGAAATGAAGAAACTCGGTTGCATTCCTGATGTCTATACTTACAATGCCCTGATGTCTGGACTGGTTCGTGCTGGAATGATAGATGACGCTTATTCACTTCTTAGAACCATGGAAAGTAACGGTTGTTGCCCAGACATTAACTCGCATAACATTGTCCTGAATGGCTTAGCTAGAACCGGTGGCCCTAAACGAGCAATGGAAATGTTTTCAAAGATGAGACATTCTGGAATCCAACCTGATGTGGTATCTTACAACACAATTCTTGGTTGTCTTAGCCGTGCTGGCAAGTTTGAGGAGGCTGCCAATTTGATGAAAGAGATGAAGAGAAAAGGATTTGAATATGATCTCATTACATACTCTTCGATTCTTGAGGCAGTTGGTAGGGTTGATGAGGTGCATGCAAATCCTGTTGCATGAAAAGATATCCCACATTGCTGAAATGTGCTTATCCGCATTGTAAGTTTATTAAGCTATGTTCCTTACCTTATGAGTTTAGGAAGCTTTAGTTGTAGTGCCTGCCAAAGTGTAGCATCTGAATTCTTCTTTTCCTGTGTTTTTGTTTAATGGCAACGAAGATGTGCTAGTTTCACTTAACTACTTTATGCATAAGGATGGACGTAATAATTGTGATGATTTTGAACAATATTGGAGGTAACCTTGTCCAGTAGTTGCATAGTAAACACTGGTCGCACAACAACTATATCAGGCTTATATTTTTGTATGTGTATCTCTCACCTCCAGATTGTTAGAGCTTGTCCTTGCCTTGTAAACCTATCATTCACCTGTCAGAAAGTTGATAATGCGATATATAATCCGAAGGCAAATCTATTCCATTCTTGTCTTCAGTACTGCCTTCGAATAGTGTCCAGATCTTTGTAGGAAACTAACTCTTGAGCAATTTTTGCTTGTTAAGAGTTCTATTTTCTGCGTTTATGTGTATCCATTTCTGTTCTCTTTCTATTCTCTGTTTTATGAGTTATTTTTACTTGCCAACCCTATTCAAATTTTATAATACATTCATAAAAGAACTTGGTAGCAGTTACTCATTTTACGTATTAGATAAGGCTTGATGATGATGAAGTCCATAATTACTTTGCTGCTATCTCCTTGAGAATGTGGGGAGAGCAGGGGGTACTCTCTTTGAGACAGATCTTTAAAGTGGTTGTGGAACCGCAAACAGCTCCCACAGATTAACATATTACTGTTACCTGCATATGTAGTAGCAATCTTAAGTTTAGTTGCCTGCCACTTTTAGAACGGTTTTACTTTGCAAGGTCCCAGTCTTAACTCTGCAAGTTTGTCTCCTATGTTGTACTTATCTGACCTGTGTTTCTCTAAAAGCAAAGTTGTCTTTCGTTTACCCAGTTAAGGCGGAGCAGGAGCCAAGTCCTTGTAGCTGGGACCCTTGAACAAACCAGAGTAAGAGAATCCTATCCATCATGATTCATGGCAAGAGAGTCAGAGAAAAAACACCACAGCGAATTGTCACAATTTCTCATCGAAAGGACAACGAAAGAAGTAGCATTGCAACTCCAATCTTGGTAACCTAACTGGTGTATTGTCTGCAATTTTGATCCTGTGCATTGTTTCATCCTCCAAGTTGCTCCCATCCAGCAAAAAGACCTTACACTGGAAGACTCATTCACGAATTATGCTTGTACAGTTGTACTGGATGATGATCCACTTACTGCGATCCCGCTGTGCTTCCAGGATCATGGATATGATGTAGGATTATGGAATCATGACCGTGGAAGCCAAGCAGCAGCTAGATGAGCACACTTGACATGGCACAAGTGACACAGAGTCAACAGTATCGTCGGTTTTAGGTTCGGGTTATTAAGTTGCAGTAGCTGAAGATCGCTGCAGAGCACTAATGTAAAGTGGTTTTTTCTCAGTTGTGAAATGTTTTCTCTATTCAAGTTTTGGAACTCAAATGAGCTGCCCAAGCAGGCTTAAATTGTTGTTGTAGCTTTTTTTTGTTACATGGCATTGCGGGGGTCAAGATTGTACAGAATCAAGGTAATGTCACAGAGGAATACTCGACTTCTGATTCACAGAAACACATTAGAACAACGCAGAATAACGGAGCAAAGGAAACGATAAACTCAATCTGCAATCTCATGATCACCTCCACATAACTGAGATCTATACGAAGGAGAATCCATTGAACAAAGACAGTAGTACTAGAACAAAGGATCTTCAGTCATGTACTCAGTTATTTCTTTCTTACCTCAAGTCTACTACCAACACTGTAAAGCAGCTAAATAGCCTCACAGCATGAGAAATTAAGGGCACCCCCTTTCAGATATTATACAACAACAAACTAGCAGAAGCTACAGGGGAACCTGCTCAACACTAAACAGATTCCCAGGTCTATCACAGATAAGGTACACGTCATCATCATCATCATCCACTAGCATCCTCCACTGAGATCCCGGGTTGCTCCTTGACCCCAGAATCTTCTTCCTGAATCTTGGCTATCTCGGACTGCACTCTCTCCATGATCTCTCTCTTTTGCATCTCTAAATCCTTGTGGAAATCCATCCTCATCTTCTCCAGCTCCACCATCTGTTGCCGCTTACTCATCTCGATCTTCTCATATATCTCACTGAACTTCTCGATCGAATCAGCCAGCAATCTGAATTCGGACCCCTCCTCGTTCTGGTCCCTTCTAGACCACCTCTTCTTTGGCGGGAGCCCATCTGAATCATCCTCTTCTTCGTCATTATCATCATCATCATCATCTGAGTTGCCCGGACTATCCCTCATCTCGTCCAACCCATTGGGCCGGTTGAGATACACTCTGGGGTTCCTGAAAACATACTCCCCGGAATCCAAACCACAAGACAGTAGTCCGCTCCCACCTAGTTGTGCAGAGGTCGACATCAGCATATCCATCTTCTTGAAATACACCCATCTATTGCTCAAACTCCCCACTAATCTACCCTTCTCTTTCTTGTATTTCTTCTTCAAGGTATCCAATCGGTTCCTACATTGGGTGTCGGTTCTCTCAACTTTAGATACTTCTGATACCTTCTTTGCGACTTCTAGCCATTCGTCTGAGCGGAGACTCTTCCTCCCACGTTGTAGGAACTTGTCTCCCCAAGAATCTAGTAGGACAAATGTTTCTTGTTCGGTCCAGTCAGTGAGAGGATTTCTCCCTGCAAAAGAAGGTTTCGACGAAAGAATAGATGCAATTGGAAGTGGTGGTGGTGGCACACGTGGGGCAAATTCATAACTTGATACCAGGCTCTTTAGTTTCCGTTTCTTTGGGTGCCTTACCAAATTAGCAGCATTGTCAACATCAGCAGCAGCATCATACTTCTTCTCGTTACTATCATCATCATCAACATGATCATCATCAAACTCAACGTTGTCATCATCATCCACATCTTCTACATCTTTTCCCAAATGAACCTTACCATTATTCAGATTATTGTTCTCTCCACCCTCATTGTTTACCAATTCTTCATCATCATCTTCATCTATGGATGGATCCTCCTCATCATTATCATCATCACTACCGTACTGATCAACAACTCGAAGCTTCTGCTGTTGGTGATTTTCGTACAAGTTGGGTGGGTACCTTGCATCATCCTCAGTGTCATCCATTTTTGGACAAGGATTCTGCCCTAGCAGCTAACGAAAACCCTAAACTGAAGCACTACCGGAGAATCAACAAGGCAACAACAGCAACTTCAAATGACAATAATCATCTCCTCCAGTCCCCAAGTACCCTAAAATATTGACTTCCTCAAAACAATCCTCATTTCTCAGCAAATCAGAAAAACTGTTCTGATCAAACACATAAAGAACCCCTAACGTACAGAGCTCAGCAGTTCCTCAAATCTCATCTGTTCCATCAAAACCCTCCACCCCCAAATCTAAGGATGAACAACTGACGGGACTCTGGCATACAAACTGTCATTTTCAGTATAACCCACAAGAGCTCCTTCGATTAAATAAGCTCTTCTTCTTTTGTCCATAACAAATCAGCAAAACCCTAAGAAAACCAGAACCCATCATTCCACGAGAGACAAAAATTGCAACTTTAATAATCCTCCAAGCAGAGAAACACCAGAAACATAAATAAAAAAACCCATCAAATAGTTCGTCGTACCTCAAAAGAGAACCACTGTGAATATTGTCGAGGAGCCAAGTAAGAATGAGAACAATTGTGGGTGAGCGAACTTTCTTCACCCTCCCAAAAACTGAGGCTCCTTAATCCCAGAATAAGCTAAGAATTTCAAACTCTGTGGATTAAGGAGAACAAGGAGGATAATGTCCAGGTCAGGAGAAGGAAGGAAGAAAAATATCGAAGATGGGAAGGGAAAGCTGCAGAAGAGGAAGAGGGTGAAGGAGAAGTGGAGAGGAAATGGGGAAAATCTTATTTTCGGAGGATAAAAGCTGGTTCGCACTAACGTACGCGATGTGCATCCTAACCCGGGAACCGGGATCCTGCGTTTTCGGGTCAGACTCAGAGACCCGGATGGATAGTCCAATTCAATAAAGATCAATTGGACTCGCAGGAGAGGGACTTGAGAGCTGGGCCTGGTATGGTCAGAGCAGTTCTGGGCTGGGCAAAGTAATCTTTTTTGTTTTCTTTCTCGGTAATTTTTTTTATTAGAGGGAGGCTAGAAAACAGCCAGAGTTACCCAAGTACAAAATCAAAGGATTGGTCACCCCGTAGAGTGAAACCAGACGAGATGCAGTAACAAGCCTACTGCAAACTCACAACACAGAAGGGAGAAAGAAAAGCAGCAGTAGACGTATCCAGCCTGAAATCTGAAACAAAGCTCCTAAACATTAACTGATTAAAGCTCGCTGTCCTGGAGCACTTGCCTCGGAAAACTTATTCCCATCATATCCTCGCGTAATATCACATCCAAATTTGCTGGAGGATTATCTAATTCATACGTACCGAAATGATAGACGAGACTGTGCTTCGAGAGCCAGTCTGCGACTCTATTCCCTTCCCTGTACGTATGAACCAGTTGAACCACCCAGCCTTGAGCCAAGACACAACGAATCTGGCCAAGAATTGTTGAATAAGGATGCACCTGATCAGAGCGATGTTTGATCAAATCCAGCGCCAACTTGGAATCGGATTCAAGGATGACAAACTGAGCTCCCTTCCGCCAACCCAGTTGCAGTCCCTGCAGAATACTCCACAACTCTGCCAGCAGCCCAGAACCGGTACCAAGCTTGATGCAAAACCCCCCAATCCAGTCCCCGTAGCAATTACGAATAACTCCCCCTGCTGTGGCCATTCTCGGGTTACTTTGAGCTGCTCCATCTATGTTAACTTTCCACCACCCTGATCTTGGAGCAACCCAGCTGATTAAGGCTTCCTCTCTTGCTGGTTTAGAGGAGAGGACAGATTTTGCCTCTGTAAAAATCGATAGAAGCGAGTGCGGAATATAAAACGAGATCGGATTTACGTGGTTTCCCCGTTCAGTATGAACGGGACTAGTCCACGGGAAGGAGAGCTTGAAGGCTCTCCGAGGTACCTCTTATTTCTGTATGTTTTTCTTAGGGTTTTCGGCCATAATGCTGCCGAGTACATATAGCAAACAAGCTTCAGCAACGTAACCAACAAGGAGAAGTAAAATGTCTAATCTGATCCCTATAATTATCACAAGTTACAATATAGGGATCGCTACACTCCCCCTCAAGCGAAGGAGTGAATGTCGAGAAGTCCAAGCTTGACGAAGAGATGATGGAACTGATCAACACTCAATCCCTTCGTGAAGAGGTCCGCCGGCTGATCGGACGTAGCAATCTTGGCAGGGGCAATTTCTAGCGACTGAACACGCTCACGGACGAAGTAACAATCCATCTCCACGTGCTTAGTGCGCTCGTGGAAAACCGGATTAGCAGCAATATGAAGAGCTGCCTGATTGTCACAAAACAAAGTGGTAGGACCAGCCGCAGTAACACCCAGATCTTGGAGCAACCAACGCAGCCAAACGATCTCACTCACAGTACTGGCCATAGATCGATACTCAGCTTCAGCAGAAGAACGTGCTACAACCGTTTGCTTCTTAGTGCGCCAAGAGATGGGTGAAGCACCAAGCATAATCACATATCCCGTCGTGGATCGTCGTGTCAAGGGACAACCACCCCAGTCAGCATCACAATATGCAGTCAAGGTAAGGTTAGCAGATGCAGAGAAGAAAAGACCACGACCAGGAGCTGACTTGAGGTAACGAAGTACACGAATAGCAGCATCCTCATGTGCCTTAGTAGGGTTTTGCATTGCTTGGCTGAGCAGGTTGACGGCATATGTGATATCTGGACGGGTAACAGTGAGGTAAAGAAGACGACCAACCAGGCGTCTATAAGCAGCAGGATCCGCGGCAGGTGGTGAAGGTGAACGGCCCAAGTGATGCTGTTGTTCGATGGGCGTGGAACAGGGCTTAGCTGCTTCAAGACCGGCATCAGCAAGAATATCCAGCACGTACTTGCGTTGATTCAACACAATGCCACGCGGAGAATGAGCTACTTCAATGCCAAGAAAATACTTAAGGGTACCAAGATCCTTTATGGTGAAACGATCATGGAGAAACCCCTTCACTTGACCAATGAAGTTAAGATCTGTTCCTGCCAAAATAACGTCATCGACGTAAATGAGAGCTACAACAAATGTCTCCCCACGCCGATACGTAAACAGCGCATGATCTGCACGACTCTGCACAAACCCAAGTTCCAAAAGAGCCTGAGTGAATTTCTGGTACCAATTTCGGGAAGCCTGACGCAGACCATAAATCGATTTTCGCAATCTGCAAACTCGAGTCTCCCCCGGGCGAGCAAAACCTTGAGGAATTTGCATATAAACTTCTTCCTCGAGGTCGCCATGGAGAAATGCGTTGTTGACGTCCAACTGGTGAATATGCCACCCACGAGTCACTGCAATGGCGAGTAGACAGCGGACAGTAACCAGCTTGGCTACCGGGGCGAAAGTATCATGGAAATCCACACCCTCAATCTGCGTATAACCTTTCGCCACCAATCTAGCTTTAAAACGTTCAACTGTTCCGTCAGGATGGAATTTAACTTTGTACACCCATTTGGACTCGATTGCCTTCTTCCCAGGAGGTAGGAAAACAATTTCCCATGTCCCATTCGCAACTAGTGCATCAAATTCCCTTTGCATTGCCTCACGCCAATGCTTGTACCGAACTGCTTGAAAGTAATAGGTCGGCTCGAATACAGTACTAACGGCGGCGACAAAAGCATGATGTGCAACCGAGAGTCGATGATATGTCAAGTAATCATCAAGAGGATACTGCGCCGTGGCCGAATGAGCTGCGCCGGGAAGCTGATAGTCATACCCCGCTAAACGAGTGGAGGTAGTCCGCACTCGGTCACTGCGACGTGGAAGAGGTGACTCCGCAGGCGATGAAGAGCTGCTGGGATCGGAAGGCAAAGGGGAGCTGCTGGAACTGTCCGAAACAGCAAGTGGATCCAGCCTAGTGGTGTCACTACCTTCCTCGCCAGCACTCTCTGGGGTCTGCGGCGGAGCTCGCTGCGGATTTGGATCGGACTCCTCGGCCAACTTTGCAGAAGATTCATCCTGACGCTGCAAATGAGCTGCAACTCGCGGAACGTGCACCAATTCATCCTCGTCATCATAGTCAGGAGCCGATGCTGGTTCAGTTGGCAGAGTCGATACAGAAACTGGAGTGAGGGACTGACCATTGGTCAAGTCCCGATAGGGAAACACTGTCTCTAGGAATTTCACATCTCGCGAAGTGTAAATGGCACGAGTTTCCAGGTCATACACTCGATAACCCCGCTGAGCAGAAGGATAGCCGAGAAAAATCCCTGCCCTTCCCCGAGCGGCAAATTTGTGGAGATGCTGATGGGTATCTCGTGCATACACCAAGCAACCATAGCTGCGTAAATGATCATACTTAGGCAATCGATCAAACAAGATTTGAAACGGAGAACGATTCCCAATGGGAACCAGCGGCATCCTGTTGATTAAATATGCCGCCGTCAACACACATTCTCCCCAGAACTTCAAGGGCAAATTCGCATGAAATCGCAATGCTCGTGCTGTATCAAGCAAGTGTCGGTGTTTGCGTTCAACGACCCCATTCTGCTGAGGAGTGTCGGTGCAGGAAGTCTGCAAGATTATCCCATGTTCCTCAAAATAATCAGTGAGGAGCTGGCTAGAGAATTCCGGGCCATTATCTGCTTGAATCTTACGCACCTGTTTACCAAACTGTGTCCGAACCAAGTTACAGAAGTATAGCAAATGGCGTGCTGCATCTGACTTAAACCGAAGTAAAAATACCCAAACGGCACGGCTAAAGTCATCAACCACAGTCAGAAAATAATGAGCACCGGACATAGATGTAGTTTTATAACTGCCCCAAATATCAACGTGTATAAGCTCAAAACAAGACGTGGTTTTAATGCTGCTAGTCTCAAAAACATCACGAGTTTGTTTAGCCCTCAAACAAGATCGACAGGGCTCATTATTATGAATAAAAGAACAACCAAGTGTGTCCTCCAAAAGATGTAATTTAGACTTCGATGGATGCCCGAGACGCGAATGCCATAACTCTGTATCTCCTAGGGATTGCCGAACTGTGTGAGCTACTGGATGACCCTGCTCGAACAACCTCAAGTAATACAGACCGTCGACATGCTTACCCATCCCAATCAGCCTCTTGGATGGTAAGTCATGAATAACACAGAAGTCACCCAAGAAAATTAATGCAACCGGAAGCTCAGCTGTCAATCTGCTGACAGAAAGTAAGTTGCATTGAAAATCCGGAACATGCAGAACTCGACGCAATAAGAGATCATCAGATAATTTAGTCGTTCCAATACTACGGACTTGGACACCCGTTCCATTAGGTATCTTAACCTGTAAAACAGGATGCGAGTCCAACTCGGAATCCAACAATGAAGCATGATTAACGATATGCTCATTACAACCCGAATCGATAACCCATGAGGACGAGTTCAAAGAGAACGTACCTGCCATGTTGGAGCTGGGCTCGGCAGAAAGTTGCCGCAGGTCGCTGTTCAACAACAGCTTGAGCTGCTCAAGTTGCTTCGACGTGAGCCCCTGCAAAACACTGCCTTCCGCGTCAACCTGGGCTGCTTGTGGTGAAGCACGATCGCCCTGCTCATTTCGACGGCGAGGCGGTGCCCGAGCAGACGAGGAGGACTCCCCCTTAGCATTATCACGCGGAGGATATCCGATGAGACGATAACACATCTCGCGCACGTGGCCAGTGCGGCGACAATGCGAGCAGCGGAGTTTTCCTCCAGTTTCCCGCTCCTGATCAGTATCGCGTTCCTGCTGAGGGCTTTGACGATCAGCTCGACGATCACCCTGGGCCTGGAAAGCTGCTGCTTCCGGCCGTGGCCGACGACTATTCGCGAGCTGCCGCTGTTGCTCGTCAGTAGTAACAAGACGATAGGCTTCTGCCAGAGAGGGAATCGGCTTCATAGCCAAAATCTGTGATTTCACAGTAGAAAAGGGCGCATCCAAGCCCATCAAAAAGTCGAACAATCGCTCGCCTTCTCTAACCTCACGCTGACGTCTCTTCACATTACAACTACAGCCTGCACAAGTGCACTCTAAGGACGGAGTCAGCGCCTCTATCTCGTCCCATAAACCCCTCAGCTTTGTGTAGAATTGAGAAACTGAGGTTTTCTCTTGCTGTAAGCTGATTATAGTGCCTTTCAACTCGTAGAGTCGCGTCGCACTGCCCTGCCCAAACCTGGATTCCAAATCAACCCATATCTCCCTAGCAGTAGCAGCGAAGCGAACACTATTGCGTACCTCCTTTGTCATCGAGGTCTTCAACCACCCTTTGACCATTGCGTTGCAACGACGCAAAGCCTCCTTCTCTGCCGGAGAGGTCGCTATCGGCAGACTCCCGTCGACAAAGCATATCTTGTTTTTGGCGATCAATGAGTCGGTCATATCCATCACCCATTCACCATAATTGACGTCGGTTAAAAGGTCACCAACGAACAAACTGCTAGGGCTGTCCGATCGATCAAGCTGCAAGTGTGAAGGTAAGGGCACGGGTACAGTTGCATCGGCATCTCCCCCGGAAATCATCTTCAACTTCTTGCTAGTCTCCTCGTCGTCCGAAGCCATCGCGAAAGCTCTGGATTAAATCACAGCTCTGATACCATGTAAAAATCGATAGAAGCGAGTGCGGAATATAAAACGAGATCGGATTTACGTGGTTTCCCCGTTCAGTATGAACGGGACTAGTCCACGGGAAGGAGAGCTTGAAGGCTCTCCGAGGTACCTCTTATTTCTGTATGTTTTTCTTAGGGTTTTCGGCCATAATGCTGCCGAGTACATATAGCAAACAAGCTTCAGCAACGTAACCAACAAGGAGAAGTAAAATGTCTAATCTGATCCCTATAATTATCACAAGTTACAATATAGGGATCGCTACAGCCTCTGCTGCCTCCCACGCTTTAATCCATTCATGTGCCTTTGACGTGACGTAGTTATGAAGAGTTGATGGCAAGAGCTTAGTGCCATTGAAAACCTTGTCATTCCAAGTCTTCCATATATATATATACCATAAGATTAAGCTGAAGTAGGACGCCCAGCCGCCCCGCCAATTACCTTGGCTGTCATCCTGCAGGTTAGAAAAAAGCCAGTCCATGTAACCAGTATTAAAGAATTCTGCCAGTCGAGCACTGGGGACAACCCTGTTCCAAGAAAATATAACTGAATCGCAGTCTCGTAAGTAGTGGAGACTTGTTTCTGGAACTCCCTCGCAATCAGGACACTCATCGTCGGTTGTAAGATGTCTATGCTTTCTAACAGCATTCGTGGTAAGCTTTCCTTTGGCGGCCATCCAGACAAACATCCTTACTCGTTCCGACACCTATAGATTCCATATTTTCCGCCAAATAGGATGATGTTCTATAGTCAGAGAGGTCAGATCCTTGTAGGATGAACTTGCCGAGAACTTCCCATTGGACGTGAGGCTCCAGATTGGGCGGTCGTCCTCCGTCACTAAAGGGTCTACCAAGACTGCCCGAATCTTGTCAATAATGCTCGTTGGGAGCAGGTCTTCAATTCCAAAGATCCGCCACCCTCCATTGAAGCTTGTCAGCAGCAATATCCCCTATAGCAAGCTTAGCAAGAGGGACCTTCAAAACCCAAGGGTCCGTCTAGAATTTAATGATTCTACCATTCGAAATATTAAAAGCATATCCCTTTTTGACAATATTCAAAACAGAGGTGAAACTTCTCCAAGCAAAAGAGGCTCCCTTTGTGTGAGGGTTGCCAATCCTTCTTTGTCACGAGAGTACTTGTTCTTTAAAACAGAAGTCCAAAGAGTGGGGTCATTGGCTGCCAGTCTCCAACTCCCTTTAGCTAGCATGGATTGATTCGTTGCTCTTGTAGGTCTGATGCCAACTCCGTCCTGAATCCTAGGTAAAGTTAGTTGATCCCAAGCAATTGGGTGGAATTTAGATTGGCCCTCCCCTTCTCCCCAATCAAATTGCCTGTTGATCTTGTCAAGAGAGTTGCAAACAGAGACCGGTAGTGATTCTTTCTCTGTAATTAGTGCCTTTTGCCGAATGTTGGATGGCAAAATTTATTTGCGGTTTTGAGAAAACTTAGTTTTGCCAAACGTTGGATTCCATGACTTCGGGAATGTGTGACTACTGCTACTTTCTGGGTACTGATTATTAGGCAGTCTGCGGGTTTCTTCCCTTTCTCTCGGGGTATATGACAAGGTGACCCCCTCTCGCCGTTGTCATTTTCTCTTTTTCTGAAGGTTTCACGACCTTACTTAAATGAGCAATCCACGATAAGGATATTCATAGTGTCCATATGCATAGTAGGCGTCCTATGGTTTCACATCTATTATATGCGAACCATTCTTATCTTTTCCTTCGAGCTTCGTGGATGGATTGTGGATTGCTTTTGAATCTTCTTTGTGACTTTCAATATATTAGTGGTCATAAGGTTAATCTGTCTCAGTTGCCGGTCTTCTATAGTCCTAACGTGCAACCAAACGAACAGAGAGAGTTGGGTTCCTTACTGGGTGTTTGTTCCATTGGCATTAAAGATCGATATCTCGGTCTGCCCTCTCTCATCTGTCGACCCAAGATTGATACTTTATTCTTAGAAAAGCTCATTTCTGTCTTGTAGGGATGGGAACAAAAATCGCTCTCTATAGCTGCGAAAGAGACATTACTAAAATTGGTGGTTGAAGCTCTACCAATTTAGTAATGTCTTGTTTTCGGTTGCCTAAGGAACTACTTCGATGATTAAATGCTCATATGGCTCAATTTGGTGGGGGCATTTCAAGGGCAATGATAGATTCATTGGATAGCATAGCAGACTCTCTATCAAAGTAAACATGATGGATGCTTAGGCTTGCGAGAATTTGAAACCTTCAATCAAGCTCTTATAGCCAAAGTTGACTAGCGAATTCTACAAGAGCCTCCATCCCTTCTTTCGAGGATCTATCTTGGCAGGTATGGTAGTGGGCCGAAATCATTCTATATTAGCTGCAACTATTGGCCATAATCCGTCCTAGGGTTGGCGGAGTATTATTTTCGACCGAGACTTGTTAGTTAAAGGTCTTAGATGGTAGGTAGATAATGGTTTCTCATTTAGAGCATTCCCTGATAATTGGCTCCCTACCTATCTCCATGGTCGAGTCCGCAACTGTGTCCTGGTGTGCTCCCGAGCATGGTTAATGTTTCAACGTTTATTGATCCATGTTCGAGCAGTTGTGATACGAGCACGAAACTGACACCCGTAGTTATCAATGTCGCACAACTAAGAACATGAAGAAAAACTAGGGATAAGGCGGAATTAAAGTGCAATCTCACACCTGGGAGAAGGCTCTATCAGTATAAAGGTAGAATCTCGGTCACAATCAAGGGAAAACTCGATTGATACAGACAAAATTCACAAGCTTAAAGCTCCATGAACCAAAATAAACTCAACATTCTTCAATGTCTAAAAATCTCCCCAAAATTCGTGTTTACAACCCTTTAAATAGGTATGGAAAATAAAACTAATAAGAAAGCCGAAAAGAAAAGAATCCTAGACAAAAAGGGAAATTCACTCGTCAGTCCCTATCCCCTGTCTCAGATTCCCAGTCGGGGATTTAAGTGCAACGAACCAGGGGTCATTCTGTTGCTAATCCCCGGTCAACCAGATAATTCTCCGGTCAGCAATAGAATCCTTCTGGCTGGGGTAATTGCATCAGTCCCTCCCCGTTGAAAAAGCTTTTCCCTCAAAACCGGAGTGTTCCTGCAAGAGTGATCATCACCAGAACTTCCTGCCCAAATTCTTCTCAATGAAATCAACATCTATCTTCGAGCCCCCGTGTGATGGCAAGACCAAGAGAGCATTGAACATATATTCTTCAGATGCCCCCTAGCAACCAAGTTGTGGACCTTAGTGGGATTGAGAAACTTCACTGATTCTGCCCTGACTGTTAATTTTAGTCTATTGTGGCGACATGTCATGATCTCTGAGATTTCCCCATTTCTCATTCTACAATGCATATGTTTACTTTGGTATATCTGAAGTCTAGAAATAAAGTGACTTTTGAATTCTACCAACCACATGTTTGTTCTCTCGCCAGACAACTCTACAACCAGGTCCTTGAAGTCTCCAATATTCACCCCCCTTTTCCGCCCCCAAAATCGCTCCTCCCAAATCCTCTCTCACCACTTGGGAGCCTCCACCAGAAAACTATTTGAAGATCAACTTCAATGCAACTGGTTGTGACTCAAGGTGCTCGTCTGGTCTTGTTATTCGTGAATCAGACGGGCATGTGGTGCTGGCAACCAATTTGCGTCACCGGGGAGTAGTCAACCCCTACCTAGAAGAGCTCCTAGAAATAAGAGATGTTATCACCATCGTCTCCTCAAGATCCTTGACTCACGTGATAGTGGAAGGTGATTCTGAGGTGATCATCAACCAAATCCAACAAGGTTTCTTAGAAGTAGGGATGCAATTGAGTCGAGTCGTGCCGAGTTTTACCCCAGCTTGACCTTGGCTCGTTAATAAACAAGGTGAGCTCAAGATCGACTCGTTTATTAACGAGCCGAATCTAGTCGAGTTCGAGCTAGCTTGATTACAAAAATCTTGACTCTTATTTGATATATTCATTTTGTATGTCATGTATGATACATGTGATTAATGTTAAGATGAAATAGTAATAATAATAATTAAATGTTCTGTATTAACTAATCTCATCTTATACTTGGTGGTATCATATTATTTAGTTAATAAATTTTAGGCAAAATACACTTCCATAACCACAAATTTCACATTTGTGACACTTATAACCACAACTTTTGAAATACACAAAATAGCCACTTTCGTCCATCCCTTTAACGGTGTCACTCAACAGTATGAATGGACTGATGAAAAATGATGAGTTGGCGATTCACATGGATTAACAAAAAAAAAAAAAAGAAGCAAAATACACTTCCATAGCCACAACTTTCACATTTGTGACAGTTATAGCCACAACTTTCACGCTTGTGAAAGATATAGCCACAACTTTCAAAATACACAAAATATCCACTTCCGTCCATCCCTTTAACGGTGTCAATTAACAATATGACCGGAGAAGGAGGCCTTATTTCCTAAATTGACGATTCAGATCTACAATCACTAGATTGAAGGATAAGGCCTCGAACGCTTGGCTGACTCACAGAAAAATGTCGAGAAAGAAGGCTGCGACGGCGGCGGTGAAAGAGGAGATAGTGTATCCGGTGGCGACAAAGAACGATGGGTCAGGAAGGAATGATGTCGCGGCTCGTAGTGCATTTTCCTCTCCAATTCCTCGAAACCGTTGCAGGTGCAATTGTTATTGTTTATGGTGAAGCTCAATTCACCGCTATCAATTGGCTCGATTCATTGCATTCAATCTCAAACAGAGCCCTGAGAAGAAATTGAGGACATGGTCGCAACTGTTTCATGTATTCGAAAGTTTGTAAAGTAAATGACTCGATTTGTCAAAAAACCATAAAAATTCTGGCTATATTTAGTATTTCAAAAGTTGTGGCTATAACTGTCACAACCGTGAAGTTGTGGTTATGGAAGTGTATTTTGTCTACAATATTTTAAAGTAAATTATGAGGTGGCATCTACTTGGTAAGTGAAGCTGAGTTGTTTCTGACGTGTGCCTTTTTGGTATCCTAGTTAGTGTGTCGTTAACCTAACAAGCGAAATCTCTAAGATCGTTAACGTTTGGAACAGAAATGGCTAGATTTGTCAAACAACTAACAAAATTATGGCTATTTCGTGTATTTCAAAAGTGGTGGCTATATCTGTCACAAATGTGAAAGTTGTGGTGATGGAAGTGTATTTTTCCGAAATTTTAACTAGTCAAAATTATGTTCTTTCATAGTGCCGAAGCAATTTATGATACATAATTTCTTTTTAAAATTAAATTAGACATATTTTCTCACATAATCTACGTGTTAAATTCATATAAGGTGAGATATATAATTTAACAATCCTATGAATTATCAAAATCAAACTCATAT